GGGTTTTACACAGAATTAAACCAAACAACATGAATCAAACATGCACTTTATTTATTTCCACTAAATAACAAAAGTACATCAAATTAGATTGAAGCTAAGGGCATACATAAACTGTCTAACAAAGAGACAAATATATTTTTAAGAATCTAGAAGTAGGCCCAATGGGTGACAAAATGTGGGAAAGTAGATTATGGTTTGGTTATGTGCAGAGAAATGATTTTGAGAGCCTATAATTTGAGATGGATATGTCACTGAATAGAGTGTGGAATGATGAAACAGGAATCATGTAGCTGACCCCATATAGTTGGTACAAGGCTTGGTTGGGTATACCCTAACTTACATTCTCATTAGAAAATGATTTTATTTCTTGTACACTATGGGAAATCAAGAACTAAGTTTTTTTTCCTTTGTTATGGTTATTTTGTTCTTTGGCTCTGAAACTTCCTTGCAAGATTTTAAAAGGCTAAAGGCTTAGTTGAGGCGCAATGACCCAAAAAGGTGAGGCGCAAGCCTAAAAAATTACGAAAAAAATACTAATTAAAGTTTATAAATGATAAAAAAAGATGTAATACACCAAGTCAGAATGGTGGAAGGTACAAATGTCCTTAAAGTAGAAGTTTATAAGCAATAAGTTTTAACTTTTAAACATTAAATAAAATAATAATTAATCATCAAACTGTTATAATCATTTTACATTTTATGTTTCAAAATGCAATCTTATGAAATTATTCATATGAAGAATCATCTATATAATGGACATTAGATTTATGGTCATCCAATAGTTGGGAAGAAAAGAACCAAATTGTAATTATTGTAATTGATTTGATCTATGCAAAAACAAAAAAAATCAATAAAAAGAAAAATAAATCATTAGGAAAAGAAATGATAAAAACAACAAACTTGGGATGTTAAATTAGAATATTAAGAAAAATACCTACTTGATTTATCTGTGAGAAACTATTAACTTGATTGGCCCTTTTTTGCATTGAACTCTCTTAGGCTAAAATACTAAGAGAAACTAATAGAATTTGACTTTCCCTATTGGCTTTTCATTTTTACTCGTTTTTATTTGGCCCATAATTATTGAAGTGCTTTTTCTATATATTTTGAACCATAAAAAATGCATAAAAATATGATTTTTTTTTAAATGAAATCACTAAATAATGGTGAAAGTTGAGGCTTACGCCTTTTTACGCCTCACACCTTGTGGCTTGAGGCTTACGCCTCATTCTGACAAAGGCTTAAGCCTCAAACCAAAGTTGTGAGGCCTAATCCTTGAGAGGCAAAATTTGTGCACCTCACCTCAAGGTGTTTGCCTCACGCCTCAAGGTTTAAGCCTTTTAAAACAATGCTTCCTTGAATATCTACTCCTGATAAAAAGCTTCGTTTACCTGGAATTGCCTTTGATTGATTTTTTGATTTCATGCCACAGGTTGGTGATGAAGAAAGGATTCATGTGTATTATGCACATGGCCAGGATAATCCCAATTTTGTCCGTAGGTGTTACTGGCTTCTTGATAAGTATGTTACAGTTCATGTTTGTTATGATACACATGGAAGTTGTAACTACCCATGTCTATATGATTTTTGGCTCATGTAAACAACAATATTTACCATTTGGCATGTTATGGAATTTTCTATATTATTGAAACTTTGATTTTCTTTTTGTTCAGGAAACAAGAGCACATAGTCCTTGTGCATTACCGTGAAACATTAGAGGTTGTTTTCTTATGCCACAAGTTATTACATTATAGTTAATTGCTTAACATACTTTTCAACCCTGTTGGATTAACCTAGGCTGACCCTTAAATAGAACCATATTAACCAAGCCAAGGCTATTTTCTTGTCTCTAATAATTAAGAAATTAAATGGTATTTGTTTTAAATTTTACATTTTTAAGGCCAAACAAGCTTATTATCATGTTTATATATGTTTCTTTTACATTTGGTAGCTGAGTGCCAACTCAAATTGGGTCTACATGTTTCTTTGGGTCACTATCTTGCCATGTGACAAACCTTGTCCTAATAGCGTTATACCAGGTGGGAAAAGGGAAACATTATCTCACCAAAAAAATTCAAGAACATCTGATAATGTCTTAGCTGTGAAATTATGAATCAGATGTGGACTAGGATGCTATTACAAGTGGCTAATCCAAGAATGTCCCTTATCATATGAATAGTTTAGATTTGCCTTCTAAATCCCTTTATGTGGCGAATTGTAAGCTTCAAAGGCCAATAGAATGCATTTAACACTTTCAGATGTGAATCTGTCCTCTAAATCTGATATTAATTTCTGATTACAGCAACAAAAAAAGGAAGAAATCAGATTGGATTCGGATTCAGATAATATGATCCGATCAGAAATCAGATTGGATTCGGATCACCCCACCCCCTATCCGATCTGAGAAGAACTGATCCGATGTATATTGTAGAGAACACTGATGTGGGCCCCACAGCTATGGTCCCACTGTGTTCGTAGGGTAGATGTGTTCTAGTCATCCTAGGGTTAGCTGGTGGTCAATCTGTTATTTCAGTTGTTATTTATTTCAGCTTTATTTTGTTCTATTTATGTAAATACTAAGGGCAGATCTGTCCTTTCCGTGTAATTAGCTTAACCTATAAATACTAAATAGAAGTGGTGGCGGCAAAACATTCAGATTCTGTCATTCCTTTCAATTCTTGTGTTCTACTACTCTCTCTCTACTCTTTATCCTCTCTCCTCTATACCTTTTCTCCTATTTTCGAACCGGAAATCTATTAGGGTTCAAGACTGATTGTAGTCTTGAACATCTACTTGGTATCAGAGCAAGGTTAGGGTTTCTCATGTGAGTTTAGTCCAGCCGACCACATGAGAATCTCCTAGGGCTGGAAGCTGAGAAAGTGGAGTTCGTGGACTGATTCTTGGAGATCGCCAGAGGGTTTAGCAGCTGTTGAAGACTTTTCACGGTTGCAGTGTTGGTGATTAGGAAGAATCAGAGAAGGCTAGGGTTCGGGTAACCTTGGAAGGCAGCGAACAGCTTTTTCTTGTAAGTTTTTTAGTTTCTAAGAGAAGTACTATCAGAGAGGATAGGCTGGACCTATCTGGAAAGGGCGGCCGAACCATTCTAGGGTTTTCTCTCTTCTATTCTCTAGGGTTTTACAACAAACCCTACTGTTGGGCCGAACTGCCTTAGGGTTCTTTTCTCCTACTCTAGGGTTTGAAAGTGATCTTGAGGCAAACCCTAATAAGCTTGCGGCAAGCCCTAATGTTAGGGAACCTTGCGATTTACCTGGAGCTCTCCTCAAGTTTTTTTCAGCATTGATCAGCTTTTAGGGTTTCATATTAACCCTACTGCAAGTCTATCTGTTCGGTACTGATTGGAATGTGCAACTGAAATGTTTTCTTTAAGGACTGATTAAAACCCTAATTCTGCTAAGCATATCAGACCTGCTTCCAAGTTGTTTTCAGATTTTTTTTTGGGGTCTTCGAACTCTCTTAAGGGGTGAGAACTGTACGGACTGTTACTGTTGTGCTTGCTAGTTGGTTTCAGATCATTAGCTATACCTGTTTCATGCACATATACCGTGAATACAGATTGGTTCTATACTGATTTTTGGTTGTGATTGATAGTCTAAGTGTTGTTCTTTGACTGTAGTAACCCTAATTTTGAGACTACTGGTTCTTGATCGAAATGGAGTTTAAAAATCAGGCCGAAGGCAGTTTTGGGAACAACAGTTATGTGGTATGTGAGCATTGTAAGAAACCCAAACACACAAAAGAAACATGTTGGAAGCTGCATCCTCATTTGGTCCCGGCAAAGTTGAGAAGCAAGAAGGGTAATGCTCAT